AGTTGCCCGTTTTGGATTTCATAAGTGTCTTAAATCCTTCGATCATAGCGTCTATGTCATGCTTGGAGCTGTGTTCGAGTGATGCATGATGGGTGAGTGGCTTAGCAGCCGTCCTTTTGCCTCCGCGTCCAAATCTGTGATAGGATGACATTGTAGCTAGGGAGCTTGGTCACAACACAACCTTACTCCACAGAGTCTGGAACCTTGATGGTCTAGTGAATTAAGTTAACATGTGTTATATACTAGTGAATTGGTATTTAATATTTATAGTGGTAGTTACACTACATTACTCCCTTCCAGAATTTTATCTGTGATAGAATTCGATGAACAGATACCAACCCCTAATCATTGGGGGCCCCAGGCCATGGCCTATTCTGGCCTGTAATGGGTAATCTAGTAGTGGGTAATCCAGCACTGCTTATCACTTCGAAACTCGAATTTACCAGAACTATCATTTGGTCGCCAAGTATCGCCAAGAAATACGCGACTTTCTTGTAAATTTTCTCATCAAACTATCTATGTAGGGTCCGTCTGCGTCTGATATACACAGCCTCACAACACAAAAACACACAAATAATCAGAAACTCATTATACGTTACATTATGCATCATTCACGAGCAGTACATTATATCAGCGTATGTAAAGGCGAAGTGATTATGAATTTTTTTTTTATTCTGTTAGCTAAAACTTTTAGATATCTAACCGTCGTTAAACAGCCAACCCAATTTCTGAGCTTACGACTTTGAATGTTGAATTCCGTAGCCTTGTAATTTTGAACCAAATCCAGTAGATAAGGAACTCCTAGATCAAGTATTGGGAGAACTTTGCCTTCGTGGAAGACTTTTTGTTGTTGTTGTTTCTAATTCCACTCGGCAATACAAGCAAGCCTGCTTGGATGAAATCAAGCGAATTTAAGTCAGATGGAGAGTTTGTTTTTCAGTGGAACAACCTATGCCCAAGAGCACGACTTTAGCCACACGCACACGTCACAGCCCGTTTATGGGGCGTGGGGGCGGACCCATTCAGTCATCCACAGATCGTAATTTTGACCTGAACCAGAGAACGATCAATCTCCAATTCAGGACCCCCAGAGGTATGGTTTGTTATGGAAACGTGGAGGATTTTGTAACCCGCCAGATTTAACGTACACCAATGACGATTACTGATTTTTTGTGGAACTAACACGCATTAGAGCTACATGAAGAGGAAAACCAGGAAAATTCCCACGGTTAGCTTGACGGCAAGGGGATAAACGTATGATTCGTCTACCACTGAGGATACTCTACGTGAGCTCTGTGGTCGGTGCAAGTTGGGTGCGAAACTCGTATCGAATAGCCATCGCTGGGATTCGAAACCGGGTCACCTCATTAGGAGGCGAACACTCTATCCCCTGAGCTGCCTTGGCTCCTGTAATAACAATTTGAATAAATTAAGGGAGGGTAATTAAGGAAATAAACAATTAAGATAAACTAAATTTGCTATAATTTTGCCAGCAATATAAAACATATTTGCAGGATTATCAGGTTTAATATATAATATATGTTTAAATTGTTTATATAATGATGGTCAAAATTATTCTTAATCAAATTTATTAAATCAAAAATAAAATAATAAAACAAAAAAGGTCCTTTAAATATTCAAAGAGAAAAAAAAAAAGATCTTACGTTTAAACGGGAGAAGTTGGCATGTATGCATTTTATAAAATAAATTTTGATGCCACTTTGATTTTTTATACCATGAGAAGTTTTCTAAAAAAAATGATAGCATAGATATGCTTAAACTGAATGGCTATTTCTTTCCGCCATTTACCGCTTTTGCTTTGCAAAATCACATGTTTCAAACATAAATATTTATATTAATAATAGTGATAGATAGAGGTACCTTATACCTCCTACACAAATACTAATACTGAAAAATGTATGCAACGACTTATTATCACTTTTATGGAAAAAAGTAACTGCCATTTTAGAAGGCGAGCGCTTTTTAAATCTGTAATAATTACAATGATAAAAATAACTAAATGAGTAATTAATTTTTAATAAAACCATTGATTTTAAAATCATTTTTTAACTTTATAGAGTAATACTTAAATGAAAATTCAGAAATAGTTAAATGAACTATGAATTTATTTTCAGGCCGTGGTCACAAGAATCAATGGAATTTTTGTAATGATATCAAGAGGTTGTTCGGACGACTGCTCGGAGGACTGCGTTGAAAAAGGATATGGAATTCGAAGAGTCTGCACAATGTGCTGTGAAAAGGAAGCCGACTGCGGGACCAGCGATCTGAACAAGAAAAAATGACCCGCGGAGAAGCAAAAAAATGACCAGGAGAATCAAAATAACGTTGGATGCATGGTTTTCTCGTCATTTTTGAACACGGCTTTGTTGATTTTTCTAAATTTACGCGAATGGAAGGTGTTCTATGATCATTAGGTTGATCAATTCAAAAAGAACAATTAATCGAAATAGCAACCAGATATGTGATGACCTTTAATTTTCTTAAATGCGTAGCTGTACAAAGTTAACCACCTTTCAAACTAAACCATCCGATTGTTGCACCACAAACCGTAAATAGCAAACTTATACGAGGGTTGCTATTTATATTTCTGGCCTTGGCAACAGATAGAGTTGCTAGGCGACCGCAGACGATTTTAATCGAAAGTTCGATCTTTTTAAACATAAATTCAGCAGACGATTTACCATTATAGCTTCATTTGTGTTGTTGACAGTAAATTGAAAAGTTCTTCTCTTTCAAANTTAGGTTGATCAATTCAAAAAGAACAATTAATCTGGAGTTGAAATAGCAACCAGATATGTGATGACCTTTAATTTTCTTAAATGCGTAGCTGTACATATTCCTTGACCACCTTTCAAACTAAACCATCCGATTGTTGCACCACAAACAGTAAATAGCAAACTTATAGTGGTTTTTCATGGGAACGAAATGATAACAAAAACACAAATCACAATTTCGTTCTGCGAATTTTTTGTTTATTGATGAATTGTATCGAGAAATTATAAGCATATCTATTCAGCATTATACAGTATTTATCCTTAGTTAAACTATGCCTTCAAATTTGATGATCTAAATAAAAAAAATTTCAAAACTTGAATTTGTGAAGAATAAAGCTAAAATATAATTTAAATGTTGATAAAAATTACTATTTTTTTTATATAAAACTGTATTGGTACCTTGTACCAACATGATACAATATGAAATATAATTTGAGAATTTTGAAAGTATGTGCATGCTGAAAAATTATTTACAGTGATAAAATCTTCATTTCTAATTGGGGATAAAGTATCAAAAAAGCAGTAAATAAAGAAAGTATCATAGTAAGCTTGTTTTAAAAAATTAGCTGCTATTAAACAACTATAAGCTGAAAACCGAAATGGCCCTATCTGTATTACCAATAGTGATCGAATAAATTTTTGCAATAAAGATAGTCAAAGAGGCATTTAGTGTAGCCATTTAGTCATAACTCTGCAATAAATGCTACTTATTTAAATTTCTTTAATTTAGATTTGAACACTAAATTTTAAAATACAAAAAACAAATATTTTTTTAATTACAAACGTAATAAACTATAAGGTTGATGATTGAACTAGTAGCATATTAATTAGAATTATAATAATAATAAAAAGCTTTAAGTCAAAGAACTAAAAAGTCAAATAATAATAATAAAAAACTTTAAGTCAAAGAACTATTTATAATATCTTAACCAAGTATGTTATTTCAGTGTGCTTCTTCTGCTTTGGGGCATCATGACAAATAATACCACCCAAATAAACTCCGATCATTATTAAAAGATTAATAAACAAAACAGTTTTAATTAAGAATCATACAAAATACATTATAAATAAAATATTTTTATTTAAATAACGGTATCCACAAGAGAAATTTCAAATTAATAAATTTATATTATTAAGTTTTCTCTCAGTTTCTTTGGGTACTCTATAAAACGAAAAGGTATTTAATATGTCAATTACCAATTAAAATTTTAGTTTATTAATTTATAGTCACAATGATACGTTATAAATGCATTTGTGTAATTATGGGATCTCTCAGAAATATAGGTAATAATAGGTTTTACTTTCTTCCTTTGAAGAAAGTAAAAAAATTTTATTTTCCTTTGAACTCTATTCATGATCTAATTTCAACATTTGTGGGTTGTGATATTTCCTAAGCTTTGATACATGTACTGTTTCAAAATTTTATTTACTTACATTTTTATTTTTTGTAATCAGTTTTTTGGTCATTCTTTCTTTTTCCTATTTTTCCTTTTCTTTTTGTTACCCTTTTTTTATTTTTCCGTCGATATTAACCTGATAATGTACGCATCCATTACCTAGATCTATCTTCGAATCATTTGACCTTTTTGGACATTCTTTCTTTTTATTTTTTCAATGTTCACTTTTACTGAAACATCTTCAACTTTTATTTTTTCGATGTTTACTTTTACTCAAAACATCTTTTTCATCATTTTTAAACTTAACATTTTGAGAATTCTGCTGTCTAATGTGCAAAGATAAGTTGTCACTTTTAAAATTAGCAGAGATGATCAGTCTCTTACCAAGTAGAGTAACAACTGGCCCGACACAATCAATAAACAAACAAAAACCTTTGCAAGTTAAAATGGGCACTACAATAAGAATAAAATAAAAGTAAACAAAACAATTCAGAAACTGGTTCAATCTTTTCTAAGGAAAGAAAAAGGCAAATAAGTTAAATAAAAGATGTTCATAGTCAAACACAAAATATTTAATATACTTTTATATGATAAATGAAATCTTACAATAGCATTTTATCACGTGAGCATAATATTTTAAGCAGCATGTAACATAAAAATAATACTATTTTTTTAATAACTAATTGCACAGAGAAAAACATTTTGGTAAAATCGTTATCTATTAAAGCTTTTCCAGCAATTTCTCTCATCTGATGGATTAAGCCAAAATAACAATCATTCAAGTCCAGAAAGTAGTGATAAAATTACACTGGGGCGCAACCGCAAGGGACAGATTTAATTCCCGAAAGATGAAATTTGGAGTTAGACTCGATTATTCAATTGCACTTTTTTTGGTGATACATATACTAAATCTGATATAATGGAACGCTTCGCAGTATAACAGCTTGTGATGGATAGATACAGACTGGAGATTTTTCTAGTCCTTTTTACCATGGGAGCTATACTCTCAGTTTGTAGCGGAGGTAAATAAAGCTTTTTTGAAAGTTAATTTTTAACATTGTATTTTATACTTGTTAAAAATATTTTATATGTCCTATTAACTAATTAATAATAAGATAATTATATTTTAGTTTATATCTAATTATTCTACAAAATAACGGGGAAAATTCAGCATTTTTAGAAACCATAGGCAAAACAAAAATGTGTGTTTAATATATTTTAAACCTTCATAAGACAATTTGTTTTAGTAATGTTATATTGAAATATTTTTGGAATTGAGATAGATTTGTAAAATTAAATTCATTGGGTTTACACGTAAAATTGATTTAATTTTTAAGAGCATTTTTTTTCTGGTAGGATTTTAAAAATTCTTCCTTCTTTAAAGGATTGGCCATAAACTTGCATTTTTGCGCTGGTAAATAAACAAAATTATAAACGTGATAACTACAAATAAACTAGAATTAGATAGTACTATTCATAATATATCAATAATGTATAAATATTTATATTTTGATCCAAAATAAAAACACTTTTCATTTCGCAGATATTAAAAGTTAAGGATAGCTTTAAAAAAGAATGCAATAAAAAGTTACCCCCATTTTCTGAGTAACTTTGCCCATCGGGTGTTTCAACTTTTAACTGAAAGAGAAAACAGTGAAAATACATTTAAACACCATAAATCAAAGCTGCAGACCTCTGATAACCCTAAGCATTTTTTTTTTCTACAACAGATGGAGAAACTTGAAATTTAAAACTGGATAAAAGAACGAGTAAACATAGTTTAGAAGAGACTTACGATAAAATTTACCTAAATTCATTTATTTTATATATGTTTCTTTTTAATGTTAGTCCTTACAAATTTAAAGATACAAAAAATTAAAATAAAGAAATAAAATAGTTTTAAAATGATATTTTCTCGCGTTAGCTATCCGCTTTCATTCTAAAAAGAAAACAAAAAAAGAGAGAATTAAACTCAATTAATATTAAATGCATTATAAATATCTTGTACTAGTTACAAATCGAAATCAATTTTATGCGTCTCGAGTTCGACAAATTGGATAAAAACCGTCTAAAAGAAATGAACATAATATAAAAATATTGAAAATGTGACGACCTTACAATTTTTAACATTCCCTTTTTAAATATCGTTATATTGTCGATGGTGTTCATGCCTGATATTTATTTTACTTTCTAGTTGGATGTTATACGTGCTCGGTTGACCTCAGAACAGAAAAGTTTCCAGCCAATAACAGCTGTGCTTTTCCAAAGGATGGCAATGATTTCGCCCATTGTAGTCACAATAGTAAATACTGCAAAGTAAGATAATTTTATTTAAATTCATTTCTTTCTGATTTGAATTTTATTGCTTTAAAAATTCAAAAAAAATAGTTTAAGGCTTAGAATAGAGGAGGGAGAGATAAAACCATCCATGTCCATCATAATATAAGCTTTTGAGACACCGCATCCTTATATTGGACAACATTTGGCACAATTTTAATACCTAAGATATTATATTTAATGATCTTTTTTCTGTTTGTTATGTCACAAAGCGATTGTATATGAAAAATTATGATTGGTTTTGCCTTCCTTAATTAAAATTTTTGAATACAACAAGTAAGTGATTCGATTAAAGTGAAGGGATTTATTCATAGTCGTGTATGTCAACCTTTATCTATCAAAAGGTAACTCAATAGTGAATTAAGTTAACATGTGTTATATACTAGTGAATTGGTATTTAATATTTATAGTGGTAGTTACACTACATTACTCCCTTCCAGAATTTTATCTGTGATAGAATTCGATGAACGGATACCAACCCCTAATCATTGGGGGCCCTAGGCCATGGCCTATTCTGGCCTGTAATGGGTAATTTAGTAGTGGGTAATCCAGCACTGCTTATCACTTCTAAACTCGAATTTACCAGAACTATTATTTGGTCGCCAAGTATCGCCAAGAAATATGCGACTTTCTTGTAAATTTTCTCATCAAACTATCTATGTAGGGTCCGTCTGCGTCTGAGATACACAGCCTCACAACACAAAAACACACAAATAATCAGAAACTCATTATACGTTACATTATGCATCATTCACGAGCAGTACATTATATCAGCGTATGTAAAGGTGAAGTGATTATGAATTTTTTTTTTTTTCTGTTNCATTTTTGCGCTGGTAAATAAACAAAATTATAAACGTGATAACTACAAATAAACTAGAATTAGATAGTACTATTCATAATATATCAATAATGTATAAATATTTATATTTTGATCCAAAATAAAAACACTTTTCATTTCGCAGATATTAAAAATTAAAGATAGCTTTAAAAAAGAATGCAATAAAAAGTTATCCCCATTTTCTGAGTAACTTTGCCCATCGGGTGTTTAAACTTTTAACTGAAAGTGAAAACAGCGAAAATACATTTAAACACCATAAATCAAAGCTGCAAACCTCTGATAACCTTAAGCATTTTTTTTTTCTTCAACGGATGGAGAAACTTGAAATTTAAAACTGGATAAAATAACGAGTAAACATAGTTTACAAGAGACTTACGGAAAAATTTACCTAAATTCATTTATTTTATATATGTTTCTTTTTAATGTTAGTCCTTATAAATTTAAAGATATTAAAAATTAAAATAAAGAAATAAAATAGTGCTAAAATGATATTTTCTCGAGTTAGCCGAGTTTTTATTCTAAAATGAAAAGAAAAAAAAGAATTAAACTCAATTAATATTAAATGCATTATAAATATTTTGCACCAATTACAAATCGAAATAATTTTATGCGTCTCGAGTTCGACAAATTGAATAAAAACAGTCTAGAGAAAAGATGAACATGTAAAAATATTGAAAATGTGACGACCTTACAATTTTTTTTATTCTCTTTTTAAATATCGTTATATTGTCGATGGTATTCATGCTTGATATTTATTTTACTTTCTAGTTGGATGTTATACGTGCTCAGTTGACTTCAGATCAGAAAAGTTTTCAGTCAATAACAGCTGTGTTTTTCCAAAGGATGGCAATGATTTCGCCCATTGTAGTCACAATAGTAAATTCTGCAAGGTAAGTTAATTTTATTTAAATTCATTTCTTTCTGATTTGAACTCTGTTGCTTTAAAAATGCAACAAAAAAAAATTTATGTGGCTCAGAATAGAGGAAGAAAGGATAAAACTACCCATGCTCAACAAAATACAATGAGCTTTTGAGACACCGCATCCATTATATTGGACAACATTTGGTACAATTTTAATACTTAAAAAATTATATTGAATGATCTTTTTTCTGTTTCTTATGTCACAAAGCGATTGTTTATGAAAAATTATTATTGGTTTTACCTTCTTTAATTAGAATTTTTAAATACAACAAGAAATTCGATTAACGTAACCATTCTAACAGCTTTATAACAAACAAATATCTAATTATTAGTCTAATCTAATGTATTCTCTTTCAGGGCCAAAATACGAAGAACAACCCTATAAAAATATTCTACAACGTGAAAAAACTCTAAGAAATTACAATTTATTATTTTTAAGCATTAATTTAAAGTAATTAAAAAACTAATTAACCCTTTTAAATACCAATCAGTCAAATGACTATATTTTTGAAATTTTTAGAATTATTGCATTTAATAATGAACATAGGAAGTAGAAGAAATGTTTTTTATTAAAAAAATAATTAGATTTTATTTTCATAGCTTGTTTCTTATATTTTCCGCTTAAACTCCCATTTCGGGACAGATATGATAATTTTCTTCGAACCAGCTTTTCACAAGTATTGAAGATGACTTACTTCTAAAAAAATTTCACAATTATAGAAAAAAATTTTTTCAAGGATTGCTTTCAAAAAAGTGAATAGAGGAAAAAGTCACAATTTCTTCATTTCAAATATTTTTCATTCTCATAAAAAATATGACAAATGACAATATTTTTTGAAATTTTTAGAATTATTGCTATATAGTAATGAACATCTAAAGCAGGATAAATATTTTTTACGAAAAAAAATAATTGGTTTGATTTTTCATAGATTGTTCCCTATATTTCCTGCCTAAGCTCCCCATATCGGAAAAGACGATAATTTTTTTTATCCTGCTTTTGACAGGTATTGAAGATGACATATTTCTAAAAATTTTCCGCATTTATAGAAAAAATTATTTCTGAGGATTGTATTCAATAAAGTGAATGGAAAAAAAAGTCACAATTTTCCCATTATAAAATTGAAATACTTAATAAATATTTTTCATTCTCATAAAAATTAATAAAAGATTATCATAGTTTATATTTATTGATACATTTATAGAATTTAAATTAATCTATAAAGGGTAAGTAGGAAAAATAAAGAGTAGTTGTTCCCATATCGAAAGTTTTGGTGCCTAATGGTTTAAATTTAATTAATTGATTTTTTTTTAAAACATATATATTATCGCATTAATTAGTTAACTTTCTTCTTAGAAACATATTTCTTAGAAACATATTTCTTAGTAACAATAACTTTACACTCTATTTAATCCAGTAAAATCGTCCCTAATATTCTTGAATAGTTACAACAAAAATTAATGTAGTTTAAATTTTTTGATAGAACTGGAAAAGAACTTTGAATTCAAGTTTTCTTATTGGGTACTTCTTGCAAGCGACGTTATGCGTAAGTCAACTAATCAGGTTCGACACACACGCGTGACGTCGTTAGCGTGTATCCGATTAAATCTGATACGAAAAGTGATTCAGCGTGATAATAAATCCAATCCTTTAACACATAACCACACGCAATGCACAACCACACAGTCATGTAATTTGTTACAAATATCTAATGTCTCATCCCCGCCACTATCTTGAAAGAAAAAAAATTCAAATTTCGAACTTTTTTTTTCAAATATCTATTAAACTATTGATTTTACAAAATAAATAAATAAATAAAAAAGGCGAAATGTTTTTGTTTCTTTCATTTTTTTTTACAAAATTAAGTTTTTTTACAATTTAAGACAAATACGAAAAGCTTCCTGAATAGAGCTCATTGAATTTTAAGATTTCCTCCAAAAAATATGAAGAGTTTAAATTCCTGGTAGTACCCTAACAGACAAACAGTTGTGCAAAAAATTATTATTAGTTGTATAATATGTATGTTTATCATTCTTGATATAATTTTTTCTAATAAATACCAGCATTTAAAATATTGTATCTCAGAGTTTATAGTCACTTAGATATCTATAATTATTATTCCGACAAACTTACTCCTCGAATTCACTTTTTAGTTGGAATCGAGCAATACCTACAGAATTTCATATTTTTGGCAAAATTATATCAACTCAAATGAATTATATCAGCAAATCAATTACATCAATTAAATTATATCAACAAAAACTCAAAATTATATCAACTAGCTTCCTCTTGGTCTCAAAATGTACAAAAAACAGCAATTTACATCTTTTTCTAACACGAATACTTCAGAAGAAAAAAAAAGAGTAAAAAATTAAGTGGTTTTTTTTCCTCACACGTAGTGGTCGAAGATATTGGAAAACTTAATTGGATGGGCTTGAAGTAATTGGATTTTTTATCACTCATTTTACCAACCAATGCAACAAATGAAAAAATTTCTTATTTTTTTCAGAAATTAAAAAGTAATATTTGAATCATGCATTTTAGTAAACACTTTTTGACAAACTCAATTTACTCCGATTGTAACGTAAATCGATGTTTACTTTTCGATAGCATTTTCGGCAGTTATTGATTCTCGCATGAATTTTAAATATCCCGATATATATCAAACAATATGGAAAATTGGAATCGTGCATTTGAGTGTTTACTTTTTAAGGCAATAATTCTATCGAATATTTGGCAATTGTTGCCATTGATTTCTCCATAGTTTTTTTTTAAATCCGATAATCGCGAAACGAAAACACGCATTTTAGGAGTCCCGATTCGCGTGATTTCATGGTCGATATTTTTTTCGGCAATTAAATTACTACTACATATTTAATGATTTTTAATTATTTTTTTTATTGTGATAATTATTTACAAAATGCGAAGGAAATAATTTGTCCAACAAAATGGGAGAATATGACCATAATATTAGAATAAAAAATTATTACATATTCAATTAAAACAAATTATATATTTTTTTAAACACAGTGCTTTTGTTATTTTAAATTAGCAACATATACACCGAAGAGCATTACATTATGACCACCCTCCATCTATAACAATGGTTTCTCGCCCAGGAACAATGTTTTCATGGGGCACATTAGGACCCATAATCCTCATAGAAAAATCCCTGACGTGTGTAAGCTACTTGAACATAGTTGCAGACCAGGTTCACCCATTCATGGCAACAGTTTTTCCTGCGAGGGATGGTGTTTACCAATAGGATAATGCACCATGTCATAAGGGTCGAATCGTCATGGATTGGTTCGAGGAACATTCCAGTGACTTTCATGTCTTGGCCCCCAAATTCACCTGACCTTAATCCAATAGAGCATTTGTGGTCCTACTTGGAAAACCAAATTCGTGCTTCCACGTTACCCCCTCGCAATGTGAGGGAATTACAAGACCAGTTGGTGAGCGTTTGGTACCAGATACCTCAGACTACCTATGCACCTTGTGGAACCAATGCCACGGCGGGTGCTAGCAGTTTTGAGGGCTAAAGGTGGTCATAATGTAATGGCTCTTCGGTGTATATGTTTAAATTGAATGGCTATTTCTTTCTGCTACTTACTGCTTTTGCTTTGCAAAATCACATGTTTCAAACATAAATATTTATATTAATAATAGTGACAGATAGAGGTACCTTATACCTACTATATAAATACTAATACTGAAATATGTATGCAACGACTTATCATAACTTTTATGGAAAAAAGTAACAGTCATTTTAGAAGGCGAGTGTTTTTTAAAAATGATAAAAATAACTAAATGAGTTATTAATTTTTAATAAAACCATTGATTTTACAACCATTTTTTAACTTTATAGAGTAATACTTAAATGTTAATTCAGAAATAGTTAAATGAACTATGAATTTATTTTCAGGCCGTGGTCACAAGAATCAATGGAATTTTTGTAATGATATCAAGAGGTTGTTCGGACGACTGCTCGGAGGACTGCGTTGAAAAAGGATATGGAATTCGAATAAGAGACTGCGTAATATGCTGTGAAAAGGAAGCCGACTGCGGGACCAGCGATCTTTACAAGAAAAAATGACCCGCGGAGAAACAAAAAAATGACCAGGAGAACCAAAATAACGTTGGATGCATGGTTTTCTCGTCATTTTTGAACACGGCTTTGTTGATTTTTCTTAATTTAAGAGAATGGAAGGTGTTCTACGCATTAGGTTGATCAATTCAAAAAGAACAATTAATCTGGAGTTGAAATAGCAACCAGATATGTGATGACCTTTAATATTCTTAAATGTGTAGCTGTACAAAGTTGACCACCTTTCAAACTAAACCATCCAATTGCTGCACCACAAACCGTAAATAGCAAACTTATAGTGGTTTTTCATGGGAACGAGATGACAACAAAAACACAAATCACATCAATTTCGTTCAGCGAATTTTTTGTATATTGATGAATTGTATCGAGAAACTATAAGCATATCTATTCAGCATTATACAGTATTTATCCTTAGTAAAACTAAGTCCTCAAATTTGATGATTTAAATAAAAAATTTGAAACTTGAATTTGTGAAGAATAAAGCTACAATATAATTTAAATGTTGATAAAAATTATTATTACTTTTTATAAAACTGTATTGGTACCTTGCACCAACATGATACAATATGGAATATAATTTGAGAAATTTGAAAGTATGCGCATGCTTAAAAATTATTTACGGTGATGAAATTTTCATTTTTAATTGGGGATAAAGTATCAAGAAAGCAGTAAATAAAGAAAGTAGTATAGTAAGCAGTATAGAAAGTAGTATAGTAAAGTAGTATAGAAAGTAGTATTGTTTTAAAAAATGAGCTGCTATTAAACAAATTAAGCTGAAAACCGAAATGACCCTATCTGTATTACCAATAGTGATCGAATAAATTTTTGCAATAAAGATAGTCAAAGAGGCATTTAGTCATAACTCTGCGATAAATGCTACTTATTTCTATTTTTTTCATTTTAAATTTGAACACTAAATTTTAAAATATGAAAAAACAAATATTTTTTAATTGCAAACGTATTAAACTATAAAGTTGGTGATTGAACTATTGCCATATTATTCAGAATAATAATGAAAAAAAAAACTTTAAGACAAACTAAAATAATAATATTTATAACTTAACCTAGTATGTTATTTCAGTTTGCTCCTTTTGCTTTGGGTTTCGTGACAAATAATATCACTCAAATAAACTCCTAACATTATTAAAAAATTAATAAACAAAGCAGTTTTAATTTTGAATCGTATAAAATACTTTATAAATAAAATATTTGTAAATAGAGGTATCTATAAGAGAAATTTTAAATGAACAAATTGATATTATTAAGTCTTCTCTCAGTTTCTTTGGGTACTCTATAAAACGAAAAGGTATTTAATATGTCAATTACCAATTAAAATTATATTTAATTAATAGTTAGTCACAATGATTATAAATGTATTTGTGTAATTATGAAATTAAATTTTTATGCATAAAATACCTTATAAAAAATTCAAAGAAACTTTTTTTAATCTTAGTTACGAAAACATATTTTTTTTAAAAAAAGACTCTTCTGTGAAATAAGTAAATAAGTTAGACTTGACTTGCACAACAGAAGAGGTTATTAAACAATGTAATAATGAAAAACAAGTTAGTAAAGGAAAATTCGAATTAACAGAAGGAATTTTTGAAATCAAATTCAATGAAATGAAAATTTATAAATATAAAAGCATTCTTTTAAAGTGTTTCTTTCAAACTAATGTAATTAAATAATATTCAATATTTTTTTTAACCCATCAATAACTTCATTATGCAATAAATGAGACAAATTTTTTTTTTAATAATCGGGGCAAATTTAATAATATTGGTTTGTGATTGCAAAATAATTTTTTTCATTTCAACTGATTCCAAAAATGAATAAAATATATATTTATTTAATGATATGACCCATGATATAAAATGAAAAAAATCTAAAAAGGCAATTTTTTAACAATAATCACTAAACATTTTTCCCAATCGATATATGGATGTTTTTTTTTTTTTTTTTTAACTTTTAGAACGTATTTCTACAATTCAGATACTTGTAATTTCACATAGATTGAAGTTTGAAAAATCACTCATTAAGTAAGAAGATATAATATTAAAAAATCTAACAAAAGCAGGCTAATATACATGATTATGAAATTAAAAACAATTTTAAAATATAGGAATTCTTTATTTCAAGACTATTAGATATGAAATTGTCATCCTACAATCAGAAACAATGAAAAAAATCAGTTAAAGGTAAAACATTAGCAAAGACGAACATCACAAATCCAATTTTTAAATATTCCACATGTGCGATAATAATAAATACAGTGGAACCCCGGTTTTACGTTTCGTACGTTAGTTATCCCGCTTTCTACGTCATTTTCTGCTGGTCTGTGAAAATTATGTATACAGATAATATTAAATTATCACGGATTTTACGTTTCCCTTTTAAGAAAATCCCGCTGAACAGATCAAAATCATATTTTCTCTACAAAACTCGCACAAACTTTTTCTGAATTTCCTTTTGCTTCGTTTTCTTTAAGAGAGACTTGTTTATTAGCCGTTAGTAGCATTATTGTATTACTTTCTATTCTATCTTATTGTCCGTGAGAGGCAGGGCCGGATTGAGCGTACGCTGGGCCCTAGGCCATTCAAATTTTTTGAGCCCTTCGATTAAGTTGTTTTTCTCGTATATTTTTTATTTATTCAACTATAAAAGTATTTATATATCTTTTCATTTGAGATAGCATATTTAAAATAAAAATAAATAATAATAAATTAAATTTCACTTTATTTTGTTAAATTAGAACTAAAAAAATTTATTTTGAAAAAATTTTAATTGAAAAAATTTATACAATATTTGAAATAGATTTTTTTTAAAAAAAATCATTGTTTTTCTTAATTTTTTTAAATTCATTTTCAAAAAATCCATTTTAAGGGGGCCCCAGGTCGCTCTAACGAGTAATACGGCACTGGTGAGAGGTTATTTCCCCCTCGAGTCAAAATCAGAAATGGAATGAGCAAAGCACGGGAGGGAACTGTGGTTAAAAGAAATATGGGAGTTTACGAGTGGAATTTTTTCCAGCAAACTTCAACCTTTGAATCATGGAATCATCCAATCATTTAAAGAACGTTACACTAAAACAACTAAATAATCCTTTCTTTTTTTTATTTCGGTCACCTGCAAGTTGCTTCAAAAGGAAAATTAAATGTTCTGGGAGGTCTGAATTTTATTTCTAAAGCGTTGGACAGTGTGGAAAGCCTCTCGGGGTTGATTGCTTCTTGGTATCCAATAGGAACATTGGCCCTTCTGAAAAAATGCATGTCTGAAGATCTTTCGAAGTCGATGATGCAACCCACATCCCATTTCTTTTCAATTCCTTCAATATCTGATTTAATGCTCTCAATGATAGTCACGAAAACGATGAAGATGAACAAAAAATATCTGACAACTGCTTAAGAATTTGAAAACTCTGAAACACTTGTGGAACTAACCTCTAAAGCAAATTTACAAACAATATTAAGTATCCAGAAGAATATTTTTATAATTGTATTTAAAAACAAAAAATATTTAAAGATTACACATTTTTTCCAGTTGTCCTCCATCAATGTATTTTTTAATGCAAGTTCCTTGGTAAAACGTAAAATCGAGGTTTCACTGGGTATAAAAATATATGAATGTAAAATAAAATGCAAGTAAATAAAATGCAGACAAAATTAAAATGCAATAAGTAAAAATGTAACAAATTGAATAATTTTCTTTACCCTTCATTAAATTTGGTAGTAAGAAAGATAACATTGTAAATGACTAGATAATGTTTCACATATGCTACAATAAAATGTCTGAAAAATATATCAAACAGAAATTTTTAAAAATTAAAACATAATTAACTTTTCTTATGATTAGAAATCTCATTTTTATTTGTGTCCATTGACAATGGAAATAAATACATAAAAATATTTTATTTTAAAAAAAGCATGTAAATAGAAGAATAAAAAACTGTAAAAGAATACAATACTTTAGAAAAAAGAAAGAAAAGATAATTGCATTACTTGCTACAATTTATCAGAATTTTTGGTTTCGTTAAATTCAGCAAAAAGAAACATAAATGCAGCAATAGTTAATGACTAAAAATGTTTCAAAAAGTATCATAATAAAATATTTCAGTAGTACTTCCAAAATTATAATAATAATTCTTAAATAAAGTTCAAATAATAATTCACCAAGATACTATTAAAAAAAAATTCTTTTTTTAATTTCGTTACTTTCCAGTAACAGGAAACAAAAAAATAACTTGAATCAAAACAATATATAAAAAATGCAAATGGAATAATTAAGAATTGAGTAATAACAATAAATTACAGAAAAAATTTAATTTTAAATAAATTGTAACAGCTTATAGTACAAAATTATGTAAGTTTCCTTAAATTCAGCAACAAGAAATATAACACAGTAAATTACTTGAAAAAAATTATAGTACCACAATAANATCACTTTTATGGAAAAAAGTAACTGCCATTTTAGAAGGCGAGCGCTTTTTAAATCTGTAATAATTACAATGATAAAAATAACTAAATGAGTTATTAATTTTTAATAAAACCATTGATTTTAAAATCATTTTTTAACTTTATAGAGTAATACTTAAATGAAAATTCAGAAATAGTTAAATGAACTATGAATTTATTTTCAGGCCGTGGTCACAAGAATCAATGGAATTTTTGTAATGATATCAAGAGGTTGTTCGGACGACTGCTCGGAGGACTGCGTTGAAAAAGGATATGGAATTCGAATAAGAGACTGCGTAATATGCTGCGAAAAGGAAGCCGACTGCGGGACCAGCGATCTTTACAAGAAAAAATGACCCGCGGAGAAGCAAAAAAATGACCAGGAGAATCAAAATAACGTTGGATGCATGGTTTTCTCGTCATTTTTAAACATGGCTTTGTTGATTTTTCTAAATTTACGCGAATGGAAGGTGTTCTATATATATTAGGTTGATCAATTCAAAAAGAACAATTAATCTGGAGTTGAAATATCAATCAGATTTGTGATGACCTCTAATTTTCTTAAATGCATAGCTGTACAAAGTTAACCACCTTTCAAACTAAACCATCCAATTGTTGCACCACGAACAGTAAATAGCAAACTTATAGTGGTTTTTCATGGGAACGAAATGACAGCAA